AATGTCCATATTTTCTATTAGTAAAGATATACATACCGACCGAACTATTTAGAGCACAAATAATAATGCCCATGGGCTGTACTAAATGTTGTAGGGTAAAAAGGGAGGCACTGAGTTGAGGATGACTCAGTTGACATTGGAGATGGTGGTACGTGAGAGAGAGAAATTTGCCAAGTGGGAAACAATAAAGAACATTCCAGCAAGATCAGGTAGTACCTGCACAGGTACAGAAATAGGAACCTGTTGTTTTTCTCCACCTCACTCTGTGGCTTCTGACAAAGTAAACAAACCCTCTGGCAGCTCAGCAGGTGGAATGCAGTGGCTATCAGCCCAGATTAGCCAGGAGTTGGTTTTGAGGCCACTATAAGCCTTTAATAGAGGGACCGTAGCCAGGGCATTTGTGCCGTTGAGCTATTTAGAAAACAGCTAATTTCACAATGCAGTGTGAGGTGAGGTCACTTCCATTGTCCTCAGACTGAGTAGATGTTCCCTTCGAGACTGTAGGCCCTCCCCTCCCCAGCCCTGCTAAAGGAAAGGCCGAGCCGCCCACCCTCGCATCTCTCAAGGGGCCACTGTCTGGCTGTGGACACGCGCGGTCTGAGACACAGCAGAATCACTGTGCTGGCTCTACCCCAGCGTGCCCCGACTATGAGGGCACATTCCGCTTGTTGAAAACCCAGGACACAGGCCAAAACATTGAGAAAACATATGACTTTTTAATGACCTTGTTTTTCTTCTACCTGCATTCAAACTCCTGGCACCCTAACCTTATTTTTGTCTTTTTCTTTCCTCATCATTATGGTTCCATGACCCATGCTTATTCAGCCAACTTATCTGTCTCACACCCGATTGGATGTGTTTTTCTTTCCCAGAAGCTTTGCAATGAATTGCTGGAAAGGGTAACTTTGTGGGCACAGGGGCACCTGCCATCGGGGACATTGGGCCCAGGTGCTCCTCTCCCCCGGAGTCCTGGACACATGAGAGTTGAAATTTCTCCTCTCCGATGGTGAGACTGCACCATATCAACATGCAGTCCATGCCAGACAGTGGCTGAGGAGTGGCAGGCCTAGGGGCCAGAGCACTGTTTTCTTTGGCAATTCCTTCCACGTTCCTAATTCCTTCCAGCAGGTTTTCATCAAGGACGGAGCCTTTACAGCCAACTGGCCAGGCCAGAAGGACAGACGCCCCCAGCAGCTATATCATAACTGCTCAACCCAAAGCCGCCCCCTTATGACCAGACTGCTGCCCTGCCTAGGTCACCAGCAGGTGTCTCTGACCTCTCATGGGACCCAGGTAGGATGGGGTGTGAGTCCAGGATCCACTGATTCTTGGCTGTGACTCCTAGAGAAAGTTCACCTTTGTGCAGTTGATTTATTCATTTGCAAATGAGAAAATTTCCGCACCACAGGGTTTCTGTAAAATACATGTGAAAATATATACCTAGTATGTGGCACATTTTGATTCTTTGTAAATTTTATACAACTACCATATTCAATTAAAGTGTGATTTCAGCGGGCATCTTAGTCAGTTCAGGGCTACAAGAAAATACCACAGACAGGGGGCGAGGGGGGGGGGCGGTTTAAAGAACATAAATTTATTCCTCACAGTTCTGGTAGCTAGAGGTTCAAGACCCAGGTACTGGCCAATTTGGTTCCTGACGAGGGCTCCCTTCCTGGATTGCAGAAAGCCAGCTGCTCGCCATGTCCTCACATGATGGGGAGAGATCATCTCTCTCAGGCCTCTTCTTACAGGGGCACTAATCCATTCATGAGGGCGCCACTCATGACGTAATTACTTCCCAAAGGCACTGATTCTGTTTGAGCTGATCAGGGAAGTGTGTGTAGAGACACCCTTGGGGGCTTGTAGAATCAGCACGAATTTTCCAAATGGGCCAGAAAGGAAGGGAAGTCCCCGTGGAAGAAAGGACAGAAGTAACGAGACAGCAGTGTGCCCAGCCCCTGCATTTAGGGAGCATCTGGCAGTTGACTATGGCTGGCACAGTAGGCAAATGTGCAAACTGCGGGAGGCCTGAGGAGGCAGTAGAAACCAAATCATGTTTGTCATGCTCAGGACAATTCTCACCCAGGCCTAGTTCTGACCCTAAGGGACATCTGGCAATGACTAGAGACATTACTGGTCATCACAATAGGAGAAGTGCACCTGGCATGCAGTGGCAGCAGGAACGCTGTTACAACTCACGGGGCAGTCCCCTACAACAGAGTTGTCCTGCCCCAAATGTCCACAATGCCCAGGTTGAGAAACTGTCCTCTCTTGCCAGTGGGGATTAACACAGGACTGACCTCTCAGGGTCACCAGAAGCCTCCATGGCTCCAGCTGCCAGGGCCAGGGCACAGAAGAAAAGATGCAATGTCGACCAACAGAGCCAAAATAAGGCTTGGGCTCTCTGAGCTCTGGCCTGTGCTGAGCCACTGTGTTCTCTGCCTCGCCTGAAGGGGCTGCACCAGCAGCAGGGAAGCTGCCCTTCTGCTATGGCTGAAATCCTTCAAAGCATTTTGTGACCCTGACCTTCCTCAGTGCCGCTGACCTTCATGCATCCCTCATGACACGTAACCTCCATGTCTGTGCTCTGCTCGGCTCAATGACAGCCCTGGAGGCACAGAGAGGCAGGCATGCTGGGAGGGAGCAGGTGATGGCAGGACTCAGCTCACACATGAACTCACAGTTAACAGACTCCCCTACAACCCAACAGGCATTCGCTCCCATCAGATGTAAGAATGCTGAGGACTTGGCCACGCCAATGGCTGGGTGAGGGTCCACCATTGGGAGGGGATGAAGCTGGAGGCTCAAACCCCAACACCAATACACTGGTCTTTGACTCACCTCGAGTCAGCCATGATGTTCTGTGGCAGGATGGGCACCTTCACTCTTTGTTTGGTTTGTAGAACATCATTCTGAACTTTAGAGATTCATTCTCACGCTTGATCCAAATACAATTGCTGGCTGAAATTTGCAGAAGCAAATTAAATGTGAGTGGTTCTCACTCCATTTAGTTAACACTTGTTTTGTAGCCAGTTAAGATTATAAAGCCAACATTTATTTTATTTGATTTAGAGAATCATGAGCATTCTTCAAATAACCCATCAAATAACCACAGGAATCTATGCACTAATAGCTGCCTTCATGCAGCTGCAGTGGAATTATGGTGAATAACATCAGGAAAAAAATCTCTCTTGGAATTGATTTGAGGATATAATCAATGCTTGAGTAGGTCCCTAAAAAATGGAATAATTAAGTTGTGGCTCTTTCTTGTGCCAAATTTCATTCTTATTGTGCCCTAGGTCAATTTCAAAAATTATGGATGAGTACAATGCCTCGCACAAAAAAGATGCTAAGTAAGTACCTGAGAATAAATAAATAATATAAAAGCCATGGGTTGTAATTGCAAGGCATGGGCTTGGAGGCCCTGGATTTTCACTCTAGCTAGCCCTGGGATTGGCTGGCTAAGTCATCTTAGGGGGCCTGTTCCACTACTCTAAATTTCACTTATACAGCTATGTACCAAGGACTGTGGACTGGGTTAGACCACCAGGTTTATTGAGTGCCTCCTATGTGTTTTGCCCCATGCTGTTCACTTTAAACATGTCTTGCTTCTCCTAATACATTTAGGATTCTCAGTGAAAGTAGAGATTGAGATGATTCTACTAGCTGTCTCCAATGGAAAATTGTATTCAAATATCAATTTTGGCCATAAGGGTTTGGCTTGCAGTAGCTTCACATAGAGAACACAAATACCAAACTAGAAACAGAAGTTTTTTTTCTAGGTAAGAAGTGAATGAGCTGAAACCAACAAGGAATTGCTTCTACCCTTGTACATGCGCCCACACACACACACACACACACACACACACACACACACACACAGTTGCAGGGGAAGCGCAGTCATCTCCACTCCCTTCGCACTGCTTTATGTGCTGGCCACTTTGCAGAGTTGTCTTTCTAAAACTATTAAAAACCATAAAATTACTCCTTAACCGTCCCCTAGCATGATGCTCTTTTTTGTCTCTGCATTTTGGGTAAAGAGCTTCTTTTTCCCATCTTTCCACATGTCAAAACCCCATCTGAAACCTTTCTGCCCCTATTGCTCCCTCTCTTGTATGCCCACAGACACAGTTTCTGCCGCTCTTTTGGGGGAAGACGGTATTGCTTTGTGAGAGAGATTTGAGGAGGTCTCAATGGGAAGACCACCACTATTCAGCTTTGTACTCTTTGAGCCAAGCCAGCTGGGCTGAAGGAGAGCGCTTGTGGGAGCACACATTGAATGAACTCTGCTGCAGTCCACGCGGGTACCTCCCATGTGGGTGCTAGCCATGGGGTGATGGAAAGGCCTCGGGACTGCCTGTGTGCCCAGGGAAGTCTGATCCTTTTTATGGAGCAAAGACAGGAACTACGGCCTGTCCCCCAACCCTCGCTGCAAGATTTTGGAGGGAGGGCAGAGATATAAAGAATGGAAATGTCTTAAAACCATGGCTTTGAATAGGACAGCGAGGAAGGGAATCTTTGTACGTGAGAAGCTTGTTAATAAGGGCCACTAGTTTTCAGTACTGAGCTTTGGATTTCATTATTCATTCATTCAGCAAGATTTATTAGGCACAGTCTGGGTCAGGGTCTACCTCAGGCCTTGGGGCGGAGGCATGACTGCAGTCTGGCTCACCATCAACGCGTCTGCTGGAGACGCGAGGCCGAGACGGGCTCGGAAGCCCGAGCATGGCGGAGGCTGGCATGAGAGCTCCGGGCTGTGGAGCAGGGCTGCAAAATGGAAGCCCGAGGGACAAAGACATATCTTGCACGTTTTATGTTTGAGCTCTATGAACAGATTATTTATTCTGATATCAGGTTTACATAATACTATTATCTGACATTAGGTAAATTAATCGACAACTAAAGAACAAAAGAAGCTGGGCCCCTGGCACCAGCAGTGTTGAACCATAGCCGACACTTAGAATTCGCATAGCCCAGCCTCCACGTGACCCGGAAGAGCTCCAATAGCTCCGCAGAGTCTCCTTCCGGGATCAGACACTGAGGGGCACAGCAGTGGGAAGAATGGCGGTCCCACTTAGGGCAAACTGTGCTGCTGGGCCCAAGCTGTGCTAGAGGAAGGTCTTCCTCACACGGAGCTCTTCTCCTGAAGCATTGGCCTCCATGTCTAGGACAACTTTTTATCCAAGAGCCTCCTCGGCCACAGCAGGCGGCAATTCCTGGATTGTGCTGAGCCATCCCTCTCTCTGGAGAGTTTCCTGGGCTCCCGGGACAGTGCCCTGATCCAGGTCGGCCCACTGCCTTGTGGCGACTGCGTCCAGTGGAGAGACTGCCTGCCTGAGGAGTTAGAGGATGTCTCAAGGTGTCGCTGACACTCCTCGGTAAGGGAGGGGGGCTGTCATGGCAGGCGGGGAAAGGTGTCTGTCTTTAATCTGAGAGACAGGTATCATATTTAAAATGATTTGGGCCAGATCTGCTGTATTCCTGATCTTCTTTTCCTCTTTCCTGTAATATATTGAGATAACAGGGAGGGGAAGGGAAGTCGATTGTTCTTTTTGATGGGTCCTGTATGGTTTTACGCAGATAGCAGGAAAGCCCCTTCCAACGCCTGGTGATCTCTAAGGGCCTTGAATTCAAAATACTCTTTATACCAAGGAGTCATATTTTGGGGTGAAATTTCCTGAGCCCCTGCAGGATGCATGAGGCACCAGAATGGGACCTGGAGGGCAGGGATCAAGGCCAGAGACACCAAAGCAGGTGGTGGCGGGTGTGTGGCAGTGGAAGAAGAGGCTAGACTCAGGAAGGCAGCTTCCGCTCCTCCTCAGCACCCAACAAAGCCATTTCCTTTATGGAGGAAATAAGGGCAATCAAAGAAGAATTTTTTATCTTCCCTGTCCGCATCCTCTTATTATTCCCCACGAATACATCTTCTGTATAAGTTTTTTAATCTCCTGGTCAGTCTAAACGAACACTGAGAACTATCAGATACATGAATTTGGGGATAGGTTAATATGTTGGTAGATATCTTGCAAATCTTTTGCCTAGATTTTTTTCTGTGTATCTGATATAATGTGAAACCTTTGTCAGTGATGACTTCTCTTCACCTTTTCTAATTGTTTGCTAAAAATATAAAATTGCAGCTTATCTTTTACACAGCCAACTGTCTAAGCACTCCCGTCCCAGCTGCGTCTCTCCTTCCTCATGTTCCACTTAGCCGCCCCTCATCTTCAGCCCTCACTGGAGAGGGGTCATTCGGCCTCACTCTCTTTTCTACAGCCCTTGACATTTCTCTCTTCCAAATCATTCTTCAGAAGCAGCTGTCTCTGCAAGCGCTATTGATACCTTCACTGTCAAGTTCAGTAGCCCGGTGTTAGCTCATGCCTTCCTCACTTTCTCTGATCTACCTGACACTCCTGATACTCCTTGTTTTCTGGGAATCCATTCTCTCGTATTTTTGCCCTGAACACTCTAACTCCTTCTCACTGGTCTCACCCTGCTGTTTAAACATAGTTCAACTCAGGAGCTCATCCTCTCTCCTGTTCTGCTTCTCAAGTCTAGAGTGTGGATTTCATGCAATGATTTGGAGGAAGACTGCAGTCACTTTACCTGGTATTTGTGCTATAACAAAACTTGAAATGCCAAACAGCAGAGTCTTGCTGTGAACTCCCACTGGGCAGAAATAAGCGTGAGACAATCAAACTAGGATAGAGTGAGAGAGACACATTTCAGTTAATGTAAATGGTTTCATTTGCCCATTATCCTTGTAAATAACATATTTAAACACAGAATGCTTATGATGAAAATTTGCCTTCTAAATAATAACTCATATTAGAATAATTCACCCTTAGAACTAAATTTTCTCTCCTGGACTATTACCAAACATAAGAAATTTCAGTCCAACAGATAATTTTTATGTAATGATTTATTCCCAAAGAAATAAAATAATGCTCATGATATCACTTCCAGATGCAATATGCCGACACCAGAACCATCGTTTCAGAGTGACACTATCACATGCCCACTCAAACAAAATAAAATTCCCATCTGAGCTGATCATTTGGTTAAAATAACAAGTTTACTGATCAGTGCTTGTTTTACATCTGTAACCTCTGTCCAGAAATGCACACAAGGGAATATTATATTTTAGTGCTCTTAATTAGGAAAAGGGCATTGTCTTTAATTTCTTGCTTGTTTTTGATGTTGTTGTGTTTATTTGTTTGAAATGGCAGATTTACTGGACCATTCCTGGCATCCTGGGCAGTGTCTGTGACAGCAGTTTCAAATCCATTAGTTAGAGACAGTGTGACATATATGAGAATCTTTTCACTGAACTCTACCACAATCATTATTTTATTGCTGTTGTCATTTTCAATTACCTTTTCCTCACTCAATATATTAGCATTATAATTTTATTCTGACCAGATTTTTTTCCATTTTCATTTTCCTATGATGAGGTCACATAGATTGGCTAGCTTTAACCTTATTTTTAGCTATGAATTAAATGACACTAAAGAAAACCTTCAAATCCTTAATTATTGAACTGTAACTACACCTAAATTATTATTTTGAAATTTTTTAACTTTTTTAACTTTTTAAAATTTTTTACATTTTAAAAATTTAAAAATTTTTCAGTAAACCAAAAGTCAAAAAAATGTTCCAGTGTGAGTCGCCAAAGCTAGAATTCCATCCAAACTTGTATAAACGTCAATAACTAATGAACCTGAACTAGAACAGAACTGAAAAATGCACTGGTTCAATTCCGTGGCATATCTCCTCTATTTTGTGTTGGGTTCTTTGTTAAAAAATAAAATAAAATGTTAAATCTGACTTCAGTGTCAATTTTTATTTAATATTTCAAAACCCTACACATGTACATACACACACACACACACACACACACACACACACATGCACACATACACCACTGGGTTAGAAATCAAATCCTGCTCTGGTCTGATTTCGTGTTGACAAATCTTCACCCATTCACCCTCTAGTTTTCTCCCTATCAATCTGAGAGAGATTCTCTCCATCTCTCTGGCTCTCTTTCTGTCTCTTCCCCCCACCTCCGTCAGAATAACCACCATCCCAATCCCCATGTTCCTCATTCTTTGTTGTATTTATATTATTTTAATTTACATATATATCATGTTTATATAGTACATATTCCTAAAGTATATTTTATCTTAACTTTTAAACTTTATGGAAGAATATTAAATTTAATATTTCAGCTCTTTTAACTTGCTTTGATTCACCATTTTATATTAATAAATAGCTTAGTTTGTTCATATTCCTCTTGTATAATATTCCATTGTGTGAATAGACCACAGCTTATTCATCCATTCTTCTAGAAGGACATTAGGGTTATTTCCAGTGCTTCAGCTTTGTTTTGTGTACAAGACTTTCTCTTAAGAAAGAATGGAATTCCTATATGGAATATGAGCATGTCCAGCCCTGGGAAGTGCCACTAACCTTCATAGGTTAAAATGTTTCCACAATGCACAAACCTAACAGTAATGTATAATAGATCTTCCCCACCCTTGATAAGTGGACACTTTCCAGCTTTTGCCAGTCAGATGAGTATGAAATAGGGTCACATTGTGGTTTTGATTTGCATTTCCTTTATCACTAATTAGTTAATTTCTTCAGACATTTATAAAAATTGGTACATTCTCTTCTCTGTGTTAACCACTCATGGATTTTCCCACTTTTTTATTGTATGGTTTGTACTTCCCTAGTGATGTTCAGAATTTTAAAAGTTTATTCTCAATACTAGTTCTTCATTAGTTATATTTATTGAAACTACCGTCTGCCAGTTTTTAACTTACCTTTTCATGTTTTCCTTAATCTTTTAAGAAAATTTTGATATGGGGACTCACTATGTTGCCCAGGCTGGCCTCAAACTCCTGGGCCCAAGAGATCCTCTCACCTCAGCCTCCCAAGTAGCCAGGACTATAGATGTGTGCCACTGTGCCCAGCTGTCTTTTCATGTTTTTCAGATGGTACCTGAAAGTTTTAATTTTCAGTATAGTCAAATTTATTAATTATGTATTATATAGCCTACATTTATGTGTTTTGTTTAAAAAGACTTTTGCTACATAAGAACTAAAATTCTTATGTATATTTTCTTTTGAAAGTTTTAAAGTTTTACTTATTTTTTTTAATTTTTTATTTTGAAATTACTATAAATTCATAGGAACTTGCAAACATTATAAAGAAGTCCCCTCACCCAGTACCCTTCGCCCAGTTTCTCCCAAGTTTTACATCTTCCAAAGCTATAGTATAATATCAAAATCAGGAAATTAGTATAGGTGCAATGCAAGTGCACTGCTCCACGTCAGTTCATCACATGTATAGGTTCATGTGACCTGACAGCAATCAAGGTACAGACTGTCCCACCCCCACCAAGATCTTCTCGGGCCACCTCTTTACAGTCGTACTCATCTTGCCTCACCCATCTCCCTCCCTGCCTAAGCATCCTTAATTCCTGGCAAACACTAATTTATTTTTCAAGTTTATCATTTTGTCACTTTGAGAATGTTATATAAATGCAGTAGTACAGTGTATGACATCTTAAGAGAAATTTCTTTGACTCAGCTTAATGCCCTTGAGGTCCATTCAAGTTGTGCATATCAATAGTTTGTTGCTTTTTATTGCTTTGTAGTATGCTGTGCTACAGACATAGCAGTTTCTTTAACTATTCACCTATTGCAGGATGTATTTGTTGTTTTTAGTTTGGGCTATCACAAATAATGCAGCAACAGCAATTCTCATACAGGTTTTTGCATGAACATAAGATTTCATTTCTTTGGAATAAATGCACAAGAATGTGAATGCTGAATTGAACGATGAGTGTATATACATGTTCTAAAGGAACCATCAAACGACTTTCCAGCGTGGCTGTAGGATTTTAAATGTATACTAACAATATAGTATAAGAGATCTCATCTCTGCACATCCTCATCAGTATTTGGTAAGTCTAGTGGTATCCACATTTTAGCATTTGGAGTGAAGTATGGAAAACTTACCATTATTCTCTTCTACCATCCCCCAATTACAATGTAATTACCTTAAATATTTCTGCTACATATATTGAAGATTGCATCAAACAGTATTAAAATTTTTACTTTAACAGTGAAAAATAATTTAGAAAGCTCAAGAGGAGAGAGAAATTTTATTATTACAGTGACTTTTTTTTTTTTTGAGACAGAGTCTCGCTTTGTTGCCCAGGCTAGAGTGAGTGCCGTGGCATCAGCCTAGCTCACAGCAACCTCAAACTCCTGAGCTCAAGCAATCCTCCTGCCTCAGCCTCCCGAGTAGCTGGGACTACAGGCATGCGCCACCATGCACGGCTAATTTTTTCTGTATATATTAGTTGGCCAAT